CCTTGCAGCATCAGCTGGAGGGAGTTTGCTCTGTTGTGGGGACCCTGCCAGCAGCTCCAAACCACCCCTGGGGATCCATCCTGCCAGAGGATCCATCCTGCCAGAGACACGAGCCACCAGCATTCCACATCAAAGCCAAGCATGACTCACCAAACCTCAGGCCTCCACAGCATTGCCTGCATAAATCCAGTGCCTATTTTTGCATAAAAAGCACTTCTTTCCAAAGCTATTCAAATGCCAGAAATAAGAGATTATTATGACTTCATGTCATGTTGAAAGACAGGTGGAGGAGAGCACAATGTTTGTGTTCGATTCAAATGTCTGATGAAATCATTCCTGTCATTCCTAATTGATGTTGCATCTGTCTTTAGATTGGAACTATTGAGGGGAAAAAAAAAAGCTGAAGATCTTATTCAGAGAAATAATTACAGTTATACACTGGTAGATGTAAAATTAAAGTATGTGGGGGGAAGGGAACTACATCCTATAATTTATCAAATTCCTACATCCCTGAAAAATAATGAGATTCTGGGCAGTGTGCAGGCACTGCTGCAGAGGCTACTGTCAGGGGGATGGCAGTGGTCAAAACCAGGCCACTGGTTCTCATTTATTCCTCCATTTTTGCTCTTCTATTGTGTTTGGAGTATTAGTTTCCAACTATCCAGAGACACAGCAGAGAAACAATGGCAGCTTTATTAAGAGCCAGAGACGTAATCCCCAAGCACGAGTGCAATTGCAGAATCTGGAGAGGGAAAAAAGGGAGTTCTGCTCATGTCTGGATTTCAGGAATTTTCCCCTCCAAAGTCCTTCAGCGTGATGTAGTTACAGGCAGCACTAAATCTGCATTACTTTGACAAACTTTCTTGAAGCCACTGAAGATTATTAATGGAAGCAGCCTGTGAAGGAGCTCTTCAATAGATGCCTCACATCCCAGTTTTATGGCCTGGGGGGTTTTTCCCCTCTTCTTTTTCTTTGCTTGTGTGGATGTTGGATTAATCCATCACAGCTTGATTTGTAAATTTGAATACAAGGACTGACTTCTTCTGGTCAAACTTGAAGCTGCTCCATGAAAACCAGACACAGATTTCTATAAACAGCTTCCCACTGCCAAAGGGCAGGGCTAGATGGGATATTGGGAAGAAATTCTTCCCTGTGAGGGTGGTGAGACCCTGGCACAGGGTGCCCAGAGAAGCTGGGGCTGCCCCTGGACCCCTGGAAGTGTCCAAGGCCAGGTTGGACGGGGCTTGGAGCAGCCTGGGACAGTGAAAGGTGTCCCTGCCCATGGCAGGGGTGGGACAAGATGAGCTTTAAGGTCCCTTCCCACCCAAACTATTCTAGGATTTTGGGATTCTCTTCCTCCTCTCACTCTCTGCTGCTTTCCTTCATCAGGATTTATCTGCAGCTCCACCTTGGGAGATCCCTGCCCAACCAAATGGCTTCACCCTTGGGAAGTCTGGGCTGAGTTACCCCAGATATTCCCCATGTCCAGCCAGCAGCTGCTTGGCCACCAGGGAAGACATTGTCCTGGAGGGGCAGGAGTCTGGAGCAGCTCTCCTGTGTGGCTGTCCCTTAGAACAGTGCAGTTGTGACTGCTCTGGTGGGCTGAGCTCAGCCCAGTTTGTGTTTTCCACATTAATTCAGGCCCTTGGAGCTGCTTTTCCTCCCCACCACGTGTGCAAAGGAGGTTGGTGTGGGGAAAAGGGAGTGAAGCCACTCCTGGGACTGTCAGCTAAATGCCATGTACAGAACAGTGCAAAGGGAATCCCACTGGAGAGCAGCCAGTGTTTGCAGCAATCCAATGCCCCAAATCCCTGCTGGGCCATGGGGAGTTTGTGGCTGCTGTTTCACAGGCTGAATTAAAGCCACAGTGGGCTCTGCTCTTACCTGGGCTCTGCCTTACTGCAGAAGTGCAGATCTTTTGCACACATCCAGGGGATAACTACAATTTTATAGAAGTTATGTGGATTTCATTTACAATTCACCCCCAGAACATTGTTTAAAAAGGTCTTGGAAGTGTAATTTTATACCAGTGTCTGCAATTGTGAACCACAGCCTCAGGCTGCCAGATAATTCCCTGGTATCCAAGCAATAGAATTTATGTATAGAACTGCTTCCTGCAGCTTCAAGGACTTCTGATAGTTGTCTTTCTAATTTCTACACCGTGCATGTGAAACCAGAACTTTGTTCATAAATTAGGAATCTGTGGTTGTAACATAAGGTCATACAGAGGTGTGTCAACTTCAGCAGGTTTTGTAGTTCTGGAAAGTGAAAACTAATTGCTTATCAAAAATGTTCATCAGTAAGTTCCTAAATAAATATTAAAGTTTTACATTACAGAATCTTGCTGCTTCACTGACTCTGACTGTAAAGCAGCTGGGAGGGATGGACTCCCCCTTTACAGGCTGTCAGGTCAGGGAATTGTAAAATTAAGGTGCTTTTTCCTGCACAATTCCACAAGACTTGCATGTCCAGATGCAATTTTAACTTCTCATTTATATTTGCAATTCATTGTGTGTAGGAGCCTTCAAAAATGAAATCTTCCATGAGAATTAACTTAGAGTCATAAAAAGTAATAAAATCTGATTGTGGCACCATCTCGGTTTTCCTCTGGAAAGGTATAAATAAATAAATAAATAAATAAAGGCTGTAATGGGTGGCAGTGGCTTGTGGAAAGTTTCCTTTTCCCCCTTTCCATTTTGCTACAACAATCAGCTCCACAATGACTCATTGCCTTCGTTAGCAGAGGGAAGACGTCCCTCATTACTCATTACCAAAGGAAGGACTTTGCTGCTGCAAGGAACAGCCCTGGCATTCTAATTCAGGTCCCTTCCACAAGAAAAGGGACAGCGTCATTCTTCCCCAAACTTTGTCAAAGGAGACAAGAAATAATGTTGTTTAATTGTCCCTGTTTATAATATCCCATCCAAAATGACAAAATTGGAATTTTAATGCTGCAATCAGGAGGAAAAATGCACATTTTTCTGTGTTTGTGTGTGAATTTCAGTTCAGGGAGCTCACACTGAGACCCAAGGCTATAAATGATCATATATATGTATTTATAAATACAAAACACATTTATTTGTTTACAATTTATTGTCTGGCTTTTTAATTACAGAGCACTGTGGATACAATACATAAATGCACACACAAAGCACTCGTTTAAGTAACTCAAGGATATATTTGATTTCAAAGGGAGCAGGCAAGACTGTTTAAAATAATTGTTTTTCTTGATTTTACTAATACAAACGTTCCTTGCCTCTTTTCACAGTCCTTTTTTTCAGATTGATTTACTTGGATATAAAGGAATTGAGCTTGATTTAAGTTTTTACTGTATTTTAATGTGGTTTTTATTAAGCTGTACAGAATGGTCCATACCTCTTTATAAATAAAGCTAAGATCATGTATTACTAGAAATCACATTTCAAACTGTACTTTTGCCAGACTTGGTTAAGATTTTCTAGGAAGGGACGTTATAATTGTGTGATTAATCTTCAGAAAAGGGAAATTTCGGCTCTGCAGTATTTCTTCCTTTGTTAACTTCAGAGATTTATAAAACCAACTTGAAGCTGCACTGTAAGTGTGTTTATAATGACTTTTAGCTGATTCAATAATCCTGAAAGTTTGGTGACTGTACAGATCACAGCTCCCCAAATGCAGTCCATTACCTCCAGCACCCTGATGAAGTTATCAGAGGTGGAGGAAATGATTGGGATTGTGTTTCTGTGGAGCCCTGCACTAATCCAACCCCTGGGCTGCTTTGATCCCATTGTGCATTGGGACATGTGCAGGGGTGATAAAAAACATTCCAGGCTGGGGGTGGTAAAGAACATCCCAGGCTGGGGGTGGTAAAGAACATCCCAGGCTTTGGGTTGTAAAGAACATCTTGGGGTTGGAAGCCCAGCTGGGGCGTGTGGGTACCCCCAGATCTCAGGCCAGGCTCCCACTGGGGTTGTGTTTTTAGGAAAATTTCCAAGCCAGTTTTCTGATCCATTTTTGCTGTTTTTATCAGTGCCCCTGCCAGTGCCACTCCCTGCAGCTGGCACTGCTCAATGTCCCTCTTAGTTCATGCAAACCCGTCCAAGGAGCCCTTGATCATGCAAATAGCCCAGCTAATTGCAGGTATTGGTACTGCCTTACCCCAGTGGAGTGAGAGCCTCTCAGACATGGTGTGCAGGATCAGCTCCTTCAATCACATTTATATGGACAAGCCATGGCACAAGGTTGTTTTTAAAAGTCACCAGTTTAAACAAAACTTGTTGAAACCATGCCAAAAGCCTCGTGTTAAGTTTCCTGGCTGTGTGCTCCTTTGCTCTTCATCGTAATAAATAACTATCAATAAATAATAATGATAAATATCAAACAAGCACCTGGGAAGCAGTGGGAGCTGGATTGGCAGGTCTCAGTCTCCATTTAACATTCAATTGCTCAGCCTGTGCTCACAGCCTTGCCACTTGCTGGAACTCAGTTAATTCACACAGAACTGGGGAGCCTTGGGTGGATGTGGGGTGTGTGCACTAAACACCAGAGCACAGGGGTTTAAGCCAGGAAGGGAACAGAACACAAAATAGACCTGAATTTACTTGTGTTCAAGAATCCAAATACTGAACATGTTTTTGCAAAATCCTGATTTTTCTTTTATGGTCTTCCAATTCACAACAGGTAAGTAATCAGGCTTCAATCAACTGCCTATTTTCAGGCCAGTTATTTGAGTTATTTTGTGACTTTAAAGCAATTCCTGACCTTCATCTCTTGGATGACATGCAGAGTTTCTTTAATGGTGCTGAGGACTGAACAGGCATCCACTAATACCTACAGAATTCACCTCTCTGGCATTTTCCTAATTTTCACTTTATTAAGCAGATGAAAGAGGAGCTGTTTCCTTCTCAGACTCCCTCTCTGGCTCTGAGGGACTGTGAGGCATCAGTCCAGCCAAGCATTTCTTTGATCAATGAGCAGAGTCAAAGTTGTGAGAAGCCTAACGTGTGGCTTTCTGTCCTTAGGCATCCACTGTGACAACATCTGCACCCAGGGCCGCTGGGGACCCAACTGCTCCATCTCCTGCAGCTGTGAGAATGGGGGATCCTGCTCCCCTGAGGATGGAACCTGTGACTGTGCACCAGGATACAGGGGACCCCTGTGCCAGAGAAGTAAGATTTTCCATAGCTGGCAGCAGCAAGGCAGGTGGAACTGCTCCTTTATGGCACCAGGCAGACAAACAGTTCCTGAACTGCTTTAGCTCATGAATTCCTAAGGGCAAAAGAGCCTGAAAAATTCTCCTTCATCAAGAAGCCAAGGCTGTCCTGCACTGAGCTGTGCCTTGTGTTTCTTCTGATCTGCACCTGGAGGTCACAGGTGACCTGAAAGGAGGAGCAGCACCTTTACAAGCCAGAGCTGGCAGGACACAGCTTTGCAGTGAAATCAGACCTATTAAACAGAGTCAGCCACCACCCATCACATAATGACAAGTGGATGAGCATTGCCATCAAAATAACAAGGCAATGTTTTCTTGTATGCCAGGAAAAGAAACACAGCAGCCTGAAATAGCTCCTGTTTGATGTTCTGCTGCTACATATTAAAATGTACCAAGCAGATAAAAATCCTCTCATTTGCTTTATCTGGGAAGCTGCATTTGCCCCATAGGGACTCTAATTGATCCAAACTACACCAACCATCTTCCCATGTAAACACAAAGTGGATTTGTCTTTCTTTTCTGCTCAGCATTCCTTCTCCCTGTAAGACATTCTGCATGCCCAGTTCATATATCCCCTTTGATTTCACCAGTTACACTTGACACTAGAACACACTCATCTCTAAAAATAATTTGTAGCTGACAGTTTTTATTTAAAGCCATTATAACGATGACCTCTAGCACTGCTGTAGTTAATGGCCTATAAGCATTTCCATTACAAACCCCAATTTCCAGGTGCTTCAGCATATCTGTGTAGCTGTAAAACCTCTCTCCAAGGCTAAAATGTGGTGCTCAGAGCTTCAGGGAGATGAGGAACAAAATGTTTTACAAATTTGAAACCTTAAGAGTGCAAAACTTCCAGAAGTTAATAGTTTCTGACCTTTCTGAAATGAAAAAAAATCCCAGCTTAATTCTATCAGCTGTTGGCACACAGGCTACAAGAGCAGACCTTGTGCCCAGTTTGCAAGCCCAGGAATCAGGCTGCTCCCTGAGGATGTTTGTTAAGGATCTAATGGGGAGAAATTTTCCTCCCCACTGGGCTGACAGCAGAGGGATCCTGTGGATGTTTCTGCTATTTCCTCTGTGAGCATATGGCCTGGGAATGCAGCTTGATTCCACCTCTTCTGTGGGATTCAGGCTCAAGAATACCTGGTGAACAGGAGACCTTACTAAGCTAGTTCTCAAAATCATCCACATTTTTCTCTTAGAAATTAATTAGAAACAGAATTTAGGCTGTACAAGGAGAGCTGAGGGTGATAGTGAAGATGATACTCAGCCAACTTGTTCTGTCCATGTAATCAGGATTACATGAGACATTGTGATGGTTTAGTGCTCTTAAGCCTGCAGAAATGTCTCCAGGAATGATCCAGGTTGTTTTATAGCTACTGCATCATCAACCAACCTGTCAGCTAAGCTCCAGCTGGAAATGTGCAGTGGGGTAAGAGCCTGACACCCTCTGAGAACATACAGTCCAAGAGAAAATTCTCATTTGCAGGAAAAATAGAACAGACATGATTTAGTAACCACTGAGCCAGAACTATAGAACAGAGAATCACAGGAGTAAAAATAAAAACATATAAAGTTATTTTTACTGTCACTTACTGCAATTTAACATTTCTTTGTGTTATCTATTGCAATGAATGTTTGGACAGTGGATGCTTTTTCACTCTACACGCTCTTAGAAGCAAAAATCTGCTTTTAGAGGAGATACTGAGCCATAATCCTGACTCTATACCTGATGTACAAATTCTATAACAATTTCAATCCAGGTTTTAGGCAAAATAAGCACACAATTCATTACAAGTTTACTCAGCTGTCTGGTGGGATTACTGATGCAAATCAGGTGGTTTTGTATGGTGTTACATAATTATCATTATTGGTTTCTGTTCATCACTTGGTGGCTGTTGCTCCTCACATTAAATGTATAAATGACTGCCTCAGTTTAGCACAGGCATTGCACCAGACAGCTTTTGGCATAGTTGTTCTGACATAAAATATTGGTTCCTAATACACCTCCTCTGATTTCTTGACTCAATTTCCATTTGCTTCTGAGTTTCTGTTGTCTGTGCCTGTGTGCCAGTGTTTCTTTTCCTATCTATCCTAAAATCTATGGAAGGTGTGTTATTAACCACATCTGCAGTAGACTGGGAGTTCTCAAACATCTTAAACTCCTGTTTTGTCACAGAGTTCAGGTTAGAGAGACTCAAATGAGTGTCCTGAGAGAGAAAGGCTGCTGAGAACTCCACTGTGGTATTAAATAGCCAAGGATTTCCATGAGGAAAGAAGGAGCAATTTTACCCAGAGCCTGCACTTGGACATGGAACAATCTAACAGGCTTCGTTATTTCAGCTGTCCACAAAATTGTGGTTGATAAATTAAGAAATATTGGTTTGGGATTAAGACAGACAGAGAATTCTCGAGCTCTCAGTGATGAGAAAACATTGGAAAACCTGTGACAGCTTGGTTTGTTGTGTTTTCAGTTTGCCCCCCAGGGTTTTACGGCCACCACTGCAGCCAGCCGTGTCCCCAGTGCGTGCACAGCAATGGTCCCTGTCACCACGTGTCCGGACACTGCGACTGCCTGCCGGGCTTCTCCGGCCCCCTCTGCAACCAAGGTACCACCAGAGCCCCCTCCCTCCTGTCTGTGACTGCAGCACGTCCCACCCCATGGTTCCTGCCTTTTCCCCTTGGTTCAGCAGTTTAGATTCCCAAGAAAATCTTTATTTCAGAGGGAAAATGCAAAGAGTCACCCTCTTGTAAATAGGATGTGCTCCTGGTTTCATAAATAAACCAGCTCTGCCACACTGGATTGAAATGAGTGTGCAATGAGACACCTGCTGTAAATACATCAGCATCCAATGGCTTCATTTTTCTTGCTGCTCAGCCTGTCCTCACCTGAATGTTGATGGCACCTTCATGTGAGCTTTGCAGCAGGACAGGGAGGTACAGGTAAAGGTAAAGGCCATCTCAGGTGAACAATCCCAAACACCCAGTCGTGCACAAAACCTCCTTTACAATGTGCAGGACTGGCTGGGAATAGCTAAAACTCTGGACACAAGTGCAGGAGTCAGGAAAGTTTGCAGTGAGGCTGAGAAGTGAGCTCATTTTCACAAGTGAGAAGGAACTTCAGCTCCCCCAAATACCCATCACCTTTCTGTACCTTTGAAAGTTCCACATTTAACTCCAAATTTCATTTTATCCTAAAAATACCCACAAAATCATTCAGCCTTCTGCACTTTCAGTTACTGCATATTGCAGTGGATATTTTCTACACAGATGTTTAAAAGGAGTGATTTATAGTGGCCACTGCCCTTTGAAGTCACCATCTCTGCCAAAATGGAATCACACTTTCAATGACCTGCTTCTCAGGAAGCTGGGATTGCAGGCAGCAGTTACCCAAAAATTGTTAAACATAGATTAAGTATAACCGTGTTTTTTGGGGTTTTTTTCCTGTGCTCTATAGTCAACTAAACATTACACCAATTAATTTATTAAAATGAACGTATTTCAGTGAATTTGTCCATTTTATGTGAAACATTAACCAGATTTCAAAGCATAAGCAGGTCTAATTATCCTCTTAAGAAAACTATTTTATTTTTGCTCAGATGTTCAGCACTTCTGGTTTTACTTTGAAATGTTGATCTATCCAGCAAATTAATCTTAAAATATTCATGTCCTAATTAAAATCAATTTGTGTTGCAGTTTGTCATAATGAGTTAACATGTAACTTTATTTTGTAGAAAGAAAAATGCTAATTAATTTTCCATTAGAAAAACGTGAAATGAAGATTTCACTTTGGATTTTTCATCTCCTTATGCCATTGACAGCAGGAACATTGTTCCACCAGCAGTATGTGCATGTGAGGAGCTGTGTAACCCCCAAAGCTGCACAGGTTGTACCAGGGATTCTGATCTGCAAACAACTAAACAGCTGTTTTATGAATATCTTTCCCAATCACGGAGCAAGATGGATTGATAATAACTTGTTATCACTGCTAGAACACACCTGACATCCCACAGGGACTTTGGGAGTCCCTCTTCAGAGCTTTTCCAGCTAATTAACATCCCAATCTGTGTTGTACAGTCAGCAGCATTAGACCTTGTTTTAGAGCTCTCTAAAAGTGATTGAGGCATTTTAAAAGTGCTTGAATTTGGATCTCACATCTTCACCAGAGTCACTCTGGCAGTCCACAACCAGCAGTTTGAATTAGGGAGAACCAACCATTTTGTCATCCCTCTGTGCTGACATTGCAGAGGACATCATCCCATTTCCCAGGGGCAAGAGGAGCTCCTGTGGAGGGAAGCCTCTGCCAGCTCTGCCTGTGTGCACCAAAGCACCAAAGTGTGACCTGGTCCCTTTGCCAGCAGCTCTGTTTGGATCACAGATCTTGCCCAGCTCCATCAGTACTCCATGGTGCAGAAGAAATCAGCTCCTCTTCTAAGGAAGTCCTTTGAGAATTACATTTTTTGTACATACAAACCCCAGCCTTCATGGAGGAGGTGCTGCCTTTCTCCATCTCAAAGATAGGACAGTGCCTGGAGCTGCTTCCTGCAGAGCTCTGGGAGGGACAATGCTGTGGCCTGTCCAGGAGCCTGGGCTGACAGACCAGTTCAGTTTTTGCTGTCTGTGATAGGAGGGCTCTGCTTTCCTTCTCTCTTTGTGTATTCTCTCCATCCTGGCTGTGTATTGTGATTACTTTTATCTCCTTTCACTTAGGGACTGTTCTATTTAGCACACAGTGTGAAAACCAAACCCAACTTTATCCACTCCTACAGATAAGTCCATAGTCTATAGAAACACAAGCAGAAAACAATACTCTGTATAGTAAGAGAAGATGGCATATTATATAAAAGCCAATGAATCACAGCTCAGGATTTCAATCTGTGGCTGATTCACAGTCAGGATAGATTGAGGTCACCTGCAGAGACTACTTTTGAGAAAGTGAGAGAGGCTGAAGTGGTAAAACAGCTGCATAATTCAGGGAAGTGCCTTAATCACTTTTTTGACATGGCTATTATTTACCAGGATACAAGTCCAGTTCCATTTGTTACACTCTTTGCTAAGATGGACTGTATGTTTTATCTTGTTTTGAAAATACATCTGTTTTTGTCAGGGAACACAGCCAATAAGAGCCCAGAAATGAAACATTTCATTCGTTACTGAGCAGAGCTTTCCATCAACTTTAACGTTAAAGATTTCCAATAATTTGGTGGGAGGTTGAAGATCTACATGTCTATTAGTTTCCTGTCACTGTGCTTAGGATGTGAGAAGATGACTCTGGAAAAAAAATTTAGAGTTTCTTTATTTAGAGTTTCTTTTCTTCCAGCTTCATTTAGGTGGGCACACAGGGAAAGGTGCTGATTTTGTTGGGATGCAGCACATCTGTTAACCAGCTCTCAGTCAAACAGATATATAACATACATAAATATATATATATATATTAAAAAATCCTTGGAAACCAGATCAGTCCCAGCCACTCACTCGTGGCTGCTACTCACTGAATTCTCCTAATTTTTTCTTGTTCTTTTCCTCTCCCAATGACCCCTCTTCTCTGTTTTGTCTCTCCTCTTGTCATCCTTCCATTCTGCCCTTCAATAATTGCAATCTTGTGACTAGATTAGCTTCATTTTTCCAGCAGAAAAATGGATTTTGATATTAATTTTTCCTATTGTTTTTACTCCTGGGATGCAAGCAAAATGGACTCGAGTACTTTCTGCCTTTTCCTGCTTTCCAGAGGAATTTTACTTCATCAAAGAAAAAACGTTGTAATTAATTTTATCTCTAATTGCTAAATATTGAGTTCTATGATTTCCTCCCATTCCTTTTGAAGAGCCTGCAGTAAAGTGCCTTGTGTTTTCAGTGTGTCCCAGTGGGAAATTTGGGAAGGACTGTGCTGAGGTGTGCCAGTGCACCGAGAACGGGACCTGCAATCCCATCGATGGATCGTGCCAGTGCTTCCCGGGCTGGATAGGGATGGACTGCTCCCAGAGTAAGCAAAGGCTCATTTCTCCACCCCTGCCTTCAAACATCCGATTTTTTTTGTGTTTGTTTAGTGCTTTCTGAAAGTTAAAGACAGATTCTGGGGAAATCTCTGTTGTATTACAGCTCTCTTTAAAGCTGATTTCTTTTAATTAATCTAAGTTAGCTTTGGATCGAATTAGTTTCTACATTTAGAGTTTGCAGAAGCCCTGACTGGCTTTTATTCCAGGAAAGCAAGGTCATAGGCTCTTATCAGAAAAGAAAGCTCCATGCTCCCTTTTAATTTCTAGCTGGATTCCTTTTTATTTATTTTTTTGAAATCATTTCCTTTCAGCTATTACATTTAGACATTATTAACCAGTAAATGTTTTCATGTACCAAATCCCTAGAATTGAGAAATTAGGCAGCTGAAATATTTCTATTAAATGTAATTTAATTGTAAAAGTCAATGTGGCCTTGTAGGGATGAAGGATTTCTTTCTGAAAATTGCCCAGGTAGAAGATTGGCATTTGCTGATCCCAAAGTGTCATTTCCTGAGAGCATCCCTTAATTGAAGCTAGATCACAGAGGGAGGCAATATCCGATCATTCAGAAATGTTACTTCATATTCAGGATACAACTAACATATTAGACAGCATTCCAGAGTAAAATATATTAAACTCCAAGTGATAAAGCAGGAATCGGATAAAAACAGACGGCTGTAATTTTGCTTTTATTGTGCGTCTTCCACAGGCAGAATATTGCTGTCACTCAAAAACTGCAGAAAAAATGGAAAAAAAGACAGAAAGCTGCACATATTCCTCATTATATTTAGCCATCTAATTGGGAAATGTCTGTTAGTGTCTGTTAACCTTGAAAAAAGATGATTTTCCTTGCAGAGCGGGGCCAGCCAGGTCAGCAGGAGCAGTTTAGGAGGCAGGACCTGGCTGTGGGTGCTCTGTGCTCGGGATGAGCAGAGGAGGACGTGGCTCTTTGCTCAGTTACTCCTTGCACACAAAGGGAACTCTCCCAAGGTGACCCTGTCCCACTCCAGCCTCCCTGGGCACCTGGCCTCCCCTCCTGGGCTATTTCCAGCCCTGTGCTCCCGTTAACCTGCAATGACCTGGACTTGGAGCTGCACAGGAGATAATTTTAGCTCCCAACTCCAGAGCCAGTTCTGGATTCACTGAGTGCCCCTGCAGCTCTGCCTTAGAAAGGCATTGGAAAAGTATTTCTGGTTGCTTATAGCACAAACACTTCAGGCCAAATCCTGCTCAGCTTTGCATTGTGTGAGTCCAGTGACCTTTCGTTGGATTTACGTCACGGCAGGGGTTTTTTGGCCCTTCATTCTGGCTTTAGAGGCATCTGTCAAATGCCAGAAACTTCCCTTTATCATCCATGGAGCCATTGGCATCCATGAAAATAGGTCTGGTGCCTGTACTTTCAGGTTTCCTGGGAACCGTGCCTTATTAATTCATGTCTTTAGCAGGAAGCAATGGAAAGTGCTTTTTAAAGCAAAAATATAGTTGTTATATTGAAGGGCTATCATAATTTCGGATCTTTTAGTCTGGCACTAATAACTGTAACTTACTGCATTCATTTTTGGAGGGAGGCTTAAAATAACTTTTTTTAATGTATTAATATTGTACTTGTTGAAATATAAAATAGACCCGGAGATTTTAATTTATTATTAGCCCCCAACAACAAAAGCAATCTGAATTTGTGGATGGGAATTCATACTGGAAGAAGTTTTCTTTACATTTTTACATGATTGGAGTAGCACTCTGTGCTTCAAATGAATGTGGTAATTTTAGTGGTTGATTGCATAGCAAAGTAAACCTGAATAGCTGGGCTTTATTATGCACGAATTCCAGCATGTCAAAAAGAAAATTAAATTACCTCCATATCTTGCAACCCTGCCTAAATTGTCCTGACAGATAATGCCAGTGAGGCAGGGAGAGTGGCCACAGCACAGAGCGGGGTCGTGTCGAGGGTCACGGGTTCACTGCAGCAAAGACCTGATCCTGCCTCCAGGAATCACAGAATCCTGCAATGCTTCGGGTTGGAAGGGAACTTGAAGCCCATCCCATTCCCCCCCTGCCATGGCAGGGACACCTTCCACTGTCCCAGGGTGCTCCAAGCACCAGTGTCCAGCCTGGCCTGGGACATTTCAGGGGATCCAGGGGCAGCCACAGCTTCTCTGGGCACCCTGTGCCAGCCCTGCCCACCCTCACAGGGAACAATTCCTTCCCAATATCCCATCCAGCCCTGCCCTCTGGCAGTGGAAGCCATTCCCTGTGTCCTGTCCCTCCATCCCTTGTCCCCAGTCCCTCTCCAGCTCTCCTGGAGCCCCTTTAGGCCCTGCAAAGGGCTCTGAGCTCTGCCTGGAGCCTCCTCCAGGGGAACATTCCCATCTCTCCCAGCCTGGCTCCAGAGCAGAGGGGGTCCAGCCCTCAGAGCATCTCCATGGCCTCCTCTGGACTTGCTCCAGCAGCTCCAAATCCTTCTGCTGTTGTTCCCCAGGGCTGGAGGCAGCTCTGCAGGTGAGGTTTCACCTGAACAGGGCAGAGGGGCAGAATCCCCTCCATCAACCTTCTGGAAGAACTCCGTGTTCCAGGGAGAGATTACAGGGTTGCACCAGGGTTTGGAGAGCCATTGGTGGCTTGGAAGGACCAGGCCACTGTCCAGGAAGGACTGGTCACTGTCCAGGAAGGACTGGTCACTGTCCAGGAGTCACTGCCAAGCTCAGCACTGCGGGGTTCTGCCTTTGCTGATGCCTCACAGGTTCTCCCTTTTTGTTGCTCCTCCATAGCACTAACACAGTATCGTTGCTTGCCTTTTTTTTTTTTTGTCAGCTGACAAATGTTTTTTATTTTCATAGCTTGTCCCACTGGGTTTTGGGGCCCTGATTGCTTTCATTCATGCAACTGCCACAACGGAGCACTGTGCAGCCCCTACGATGGAGAATGTAGATGTACCCATGGTTGGACGGGGCTCTACTGCACTCAGCGTAAGCCTTTCAGAGACAGGGAATCTGTCAAAGTATGTGCTGCTACCTCGTGTCTCTTCCAAGTATTGCAGTTTTCCCTGGAAAACCACATGCTCCTTACTCCTGATAACCTCACATCACCCCTAAGAAAACAGTCCTGAAGCTTTCCAAGGTTTTTTATGCCTTTGGCGCTCAGTAAAGGAGGGGAAAATCATTGACATTATTGATTCATTGTTAGAATTTGCATAGTCAGTGTCTCTGCTTGTTAATGCCCCAGTATTTCGTGGTTAGAGATTTCTCACCCTAGTGCCAAATTATCAGTATAAAAGAGGAGATCCAATTCTGGTGAGCCTTTTAAGAAGGTTCTTTCACTTGCAAGTAATTGATTGATCCCTGGTCTTCCAGACAGTTTCTGTTTAGCATCTTCTTTCACTTCTTGAAAATGTAGTTTGTATAGATGGGTCAAGTTTTCATTCTTCTGAAACACTTAAGAGGCAATTCTGTAAAGATGAGAAACATTACTTCAAGAAAATTGGCTGTCACAGTATCTCTGCATTTAGACCATCAGATAAATGTCATTAAATATACAGAGGCTGAAAATCCATAGATTTATACACATACTTTGTGCTGATAACACATCTGAGTTTGGCTTTCAGCTTATTTCCTACTCTTTCCTTGTTCTGATTGCTGAAAGGTTGCCCAGCTGCTTTTTATGGAAAGAACTGTGCCAATGTGTGCCAGTGCCAGAACGGAGCCGACTGTGACCACATCACTGGGCAGTGCACGTGCAGGACGGGATTCACAGGCAAACAGTGTGAGCAGAGTAAGTACCAGTGCCCTCAGCCCTCTCCTTCTCCAGACAGAGAAGTAATGTTTCAGAATTCTTGCACAAACAGGCTCTTAAATGAGGTGTTGATGTCAGCAGGACAATGACCCCAGGCACTTTATAAAATCCATAGGGAGGAGAGGGCACCTCTGGAAAACTGGGCAGTGAAAGCATAAAGAAATTCAGTGAATCCCTGCAAATTGGGCTTTTGATTCCTAGACTAAATTTAGGTGAGAGAAAGTAAATCACTGTATTCAGTGCTGACTGGATGGGGCCTTCTCAAACAATTTGCATCTGATTAATACACACCCAGCCCTAAAGCTGCCTCGGGCCTGGGTAACCTGCTGAGAGCAGCAGCCCCGGGTTTCTCAGTGCATGAAAACAGAGGGGTTCCAAGGAATAAATCTCTGCTTTCCAAGGAATATTGGGGATATGGAGCTTTCCCACAGAAATTATGATGTAGACATGGATCAAATAAAGATTCATCTTTACAATGAAAGCAGATCAAGGGAAACAAGGCTGCTTGCCATTTTGGGAAGGGTCTGAGTTTAGTTTGAGCAGTGAATGTTTCCCAGTGAACCTCAATTCCCTTGCGAGGGATCTGAATATCTTACTGGGATTGTTGTCCATGTCCCACTGGAATATTTAGCAGGCTGTGCCAAATGGCTTTTTAAAGAACATGGAATGAGGGTCCTGGAAATTGCATGTGCTCTAACTGGATAATTATTTGTTTGTCCAGTGCAGTAACTCACAAGGAAATTCTCCCACACGTACTGGGATTCCATACACAGGTGAAATCCACCTCATTAATTCCACAGGGTTCCCCCATGTTTTTTGGCAGTGAAGTAATTCAGTAACATTCCTGCCAGATTTGCAAGGGAAGGCTTCTTATCTGTAGCTTGCTGCATGGATCTTTATGGAGTATTTGTAACTTAATTCATAAATATTTTGTGCATGCACTTGCATTCAGCAAAGTGAATTTCTCAGGGCCAAATTTGTGTGCTTGTGGGGAATTGCACATGGCACCACTGTAACTCTGTAAGTGGCCAACTTTGTGGAATTTGGGGATGCTCTTCACTGCAGCCACAATCAAAATAGGAAACTAAAGAATCCCACAAAGAACCACACAATACAAGGAGATGCTTTATGATTTGACCCCTGTATAAAGCCTGAGGCTTTCTTTTCTATCCAAACTACAAATGTATTTATTTACTTGTTTTTCTACAGTTTAATCTAAAAGAATCTCTTCATTAAGGCTCCTTCCTTCTCCAAATCCTGCTGAATGGGCAGTCACACTGCATTGCAGATGAAATGCTTAATTGCAGGCATCATTTCTGTGGTGCAGTACCAAAATTTAGGCCTTATTCATTTTAAGTAGGCTGCAGGCTAATAAAAGAATGAGCATTAATTGTAATAATTTTAATTTTTTCATTGTTTGAGTACCAACAGATTAAAGATACAGTTTTAATACACACTGCAAATCAATAAACAGACACTGGCTATGGTTCTCAGAGTGTGCCTGAGTGTGAGTGTGTGTGTGTGAGTGTGTCTGAGTGTGTCTGAGTGTGTCTGAGTGTGCCAGCGTATGTCAGAGTGTGCCTGGGTGTGTCTGAGTGTGCCAATATTAAATTTGGGCTGCCAGAAGCCACTTTGAGACTGACACTGGGGAGGTGTTGTCATGCAATGAAAAACATTTGCAGTGACACACGAGGAGTCTCATCTTGAACCATATATTCCATAGGATCATAGCAAGGGTGCATGTTTTCAGTAATGCAGCTTCTTCATGGAAATAAGTGGGATGTGACAGACATTGTTTCTTTCAATTTATTCTTGAATAGTGCCTCCAGAAGTACAGTAAGCTGCCTACAGATTTATTGTAATATCCCATCATGGTAATTGTATGAATAAATTTCTCAGCTGGACATTCAATCATTTTGTCTTTGATAGAAACACAAAGACGGGATAGAAATTTCTTGTGTATTAGGAATCCTGACACTGAAGCAGAGCAAATCAAACCATTCAGATGCTTAATTCTGAAATTTCACCTGCAATGTTCTATTCACCTCCTGGAACTGGCAGGGATGAGTAGGAAAGCATGTGGGGTTTGTTTGGCAAAGGCTGTTGGGTTCGTATAAAGGCTCATTAAAAACTTGTCTTTGCAACTCCCCCCATGAGAAAAAAAAAAGGTAGGTTGGTGAAGAATGCTGAGCTCTGTTGTCTACAGCTTCTGACATCAAGTTCTGTTAAACTCTGAACATTTGTAATACACATCAATACACTTCTAAAGCCTTTGTACCTCCCATTGACTTCATTCTATGAATTTTCCAGAAAGTTGCAGCTTAGTGAGTAACAAACTGCACATAGAATACATTTAGCTTCTGCTTTAGACTGATAATCATTTCACACTAGGATGTTATCCTAGAGATCCTAAAACCGGGGAGACTTCTCTACTGAATTTCCCATGGCAGGTGTTGTGCCCATTCCCAAAAACAGTAGAATTCTTTCCAATGTTTTTCTTTGGCTCCCCAGAGTGCTCTCCAGGAACATTTGGTTATGGTTGCAAACAATTGTGTGAGTGCATGAACAATGCAACGTGTGACCACGTCACAGGCACTTGCTACTGCAGTCCAGGCTTCAAAGGAATTCGATGTGATCAAGGTACAGTGGAATTCTCTCTATAAAATCCCTCCCTCTCTCCTCCTCTCCAATGATGTACTTGCCTTAAAAAAAAAACCAACAGTGTTTCAAAAATGAAATGCGTGATTCAATTTACAGTGTGTTATGAATTACTTTTAACAGCGGCTCTTATGATGGAAGAATTAAACCCCTATACTAAAATTAGCCCTGCTCTTGGATCAGAGAGGCACTCAGTGGGAGCAATCATTGGAATTATTATTCTCCTTCTAATTATTATGGTCTTGCTGGCACTCTTTGTGTGGTATCGACGGAAACAGAAGGAGAAGGGCCATGACATGCCAAGTGTATCTTACACTCCAGCCATGAGGATGACTAATACAGATTACTCACTTTCTGGTAAGGGTCTTTTTATGTTAATCAAATCCAGACTCATGTTCCTGTCTGTTGGGGAAATACAAGTTTCTGTGATGTGTAACATGTGTTATTGAGCCTCAAAAATAATGACACTTCGGTTCTTCCTCAGAATACCCTGATCCTTAAACACATAAATGGGACAGGAAAGCAAATATAAAATTGATTTAAGCTGCTTTCTATGTGGAAGTTGATATGGGATACACCTAGGCAGGAAATATGCTGCATGGAATTTTGAGTCATGTGCATTCCTGTTGAGGTGCAGAGATGTTTCCCTTTGTGAAACCTTGGGAAACCTTTTTTGTTTGAGGAATGGGATTGGCTGGGTCAGTCATAAGGTTTTGGTTATGTCTGTGTTGCAGTTTGGGATTTGAGGTGTCTGTTTGTTGTCTCTCTCTGCTGTGTGCAGAGCAGCCCTTGTCACATAGACAGCTGGTGGGAATTGTCTTTCCAGGAGCTGAGGAAGGCAGGAGAGAGGAAGAGGAAAGCTCTTCAGGATCAAAGCATTCTTCTTTCTTTCTATCCTCTGCCACTGCTGTTGAGGACAGCTTTTCTTGACAGATTGTCTAAATTTTGGAGGATGTGATCTCCTTTTCAACACTGTCATTCTTATTCATTCCTCTCTGGCCAACATCAGGGACAATGCCAGGCAGGAGATGGCTTTACTTCCTTCTGGTTTCTCCACTATCTCAGTGGGCATCTTCTCAGGGTTTACTGCCCTCTGATTTCTCTTCCTTTTAAATGGCTGAAACTCCAAGTCCAGGTAAATACAAGCCCCAGGGGCAGGCAGAGGTTGGCCCAGCATCTCTTTTTCCCCAGGCCTGCAGTGCCTTTTCCTTTCTGCTTTCTACTCAAAGGTACGAGGCCCCTTGGCTTCTCTGCTGTCTCAGGGTGGCACAGCTGGGAGCTTTTCATGGACTCCCCTGCCAAGGATGTGCCTGAAAGGAGCCTCTCCCATCAATCCAATGGCAGTAAAGCCTGGCTACACCTGGAATTTAACCAGGGAGCTTCTCATGGTACAGTGACTTCAGTCCTTGTGCCAGGGACATTTTCCTGCCATGGTGTGTCCCACATCATGGGCTCTCTGCTGAACACCATTGGCTAGATTCATACCTAGACCACTCAGTAGAGCATTCCTTCTGATAGCTACAAATGAGGGGAGAAATTATCATGGATCTCCTTTCATTCCTTCTTATTTTTGAATTTTAGCTTTTCTGGCTTTTGCTTAAGCTGCCCATTTGGGTAAGAAACAGATGTTCTTCACATTCCTCTCAGCTGCAGCCACCTTTCCCAGAGTTCCTGATGCCATATGATACTTAAGTACATGAGGAACAAAAGTATTTTGGAGATGGCTGAATTCCTGGATACATCCTAAATAGCTGAGGGATCACATCCTTCATCTGCACTAAACCTGAGATCTCTTTTGGTCCTTGGGCTGGGAGTTTAGTTCTGGCCCTTGTGGCGTTGCTGGTCCGTGTCAGGTCAGTTTGTAAAAACCCTGAATACCAGGTCCTCACGAACTCAAACAGCACCAGGTCAGGGGAGGTTTCATGGGCATTTCTAGAAAGAAATTGGATAATGGTTCTTTCCTGTTCATCTCAGTCAGTGATGGGGATGCAGGGACTGGGCCTTTTCTTTCCTTTTACTTTCTTTGTGCAGTCCTTCTAGCAATAGAAATTTATTACTCAGGAAGCTGCAGCAGAGTGGGGTCAGGCATCTCTTTCTGGAGGTCACAAGGACAGTTTTCTTCCTCCTTCCCCTTGGAAAACTCTGCCATCTGAGCTTGCAGAGGAGGATTAAGAAAATAGAAACACACTGCTCCATCTTCAGCTCATTATAAATTGCCTGCAGGTACCAGCATTGTTTCAAGTTTTGGGTTTTGCCCTTTTAAAGGGCATTTACAAATTCTAGACAAAAGCTTCTGGAAACTCCCTGCCTAATCCTGGCTGTCCTCCAGTACATTCCCCTACTGACACTTGCAGTAACTGCCCCAACTTTGGCCTCACCAATGCTGCTTCTCTCCCATAGAGCAGAGAGGTGCCCACGCTGATGTGCAGAAAGTGGAGAGGTGGATCCTGAGACAAGCTCACAGCAAAGGAATTTGTGTCTGGCAAGACAACACGTGTGTGTGTGTGAGGGCAGGAGTGCACACGTGTGTTCCAGAGGATGCTGAAGGACAGCAGCAATATTGCACAGAGGGAACAGGGATTCCAACCTTCACCTGCAGGTCTGCTTGTGGATTAAGGGCAGAATACCATGTAGATGTACTTGTCCAATGGATATAATCCCATGTAATCCCATGTGCTTTGGCAGGAATTCCACCTGGATGGCTGCAGCATCCAGCCCTCTGTGGGTTGTAACATTATGGCTCTCCTGAATCATCAGCTGTTATTTTGCCTGTTTACTCTCATTTGGGTAATGGTGGTGTTGTTTCTGAACAGAGTCACATAAACAGATCCCTAGCTCCTGGAGGCAGCAATTTCTTCCAGCACATTTATTTCTGGAGGATATTTTTGGTCTTTATGTCCTCAGCTCTTGTGAGGCTGATAATCCATGCATATGTGTGAGAGAGATTATGAGGAAGGGGAACCCCTTGGGCAGCCCTTGGACTCTTTTGCATTTGTGGATGAAGGATGTGGCAGCAAAACACACACTTTACCCAGCAGCCAGAAGAGAAGAAAACCACCCGTGCTGGGAGGGCTTATCCACAGCACATGGACCTAAGAGTAAACTTTCCCAAATAAGCCTGAAATCAAAATGGTGCTCCCCAGCATGAGAGCAGTGAACTACATCCAAAAAAGATTTTAAAGTGCAGGTTGTTTAATTCAAGGAGATGGGATCAGAAGGGAAAACTGTGTGGTAGTGCTGGAGAGCTGCAGAGATTTCTTAGTGGGACTTTGACAAAGACTTGGCTATGGGCTGAAGTGATGTTTGAGGTCTTATCAAGATCTTAGCAAACTTTCTGGTATGGGTGAATCCTCTGCTGAGAGCCAAGAGCTAAGCAAAGCTTGACACAAATAAAACATCGTGGATCTTGAAGCCTAGACGAGACATTTCCAGAAATGATCTGCAGATGATGGGTGGTGGGAGGTGGCAGAGTGAACCCTCCTGTTTGGAGCCTTCAGCCGTCTCCCTGACACTGTGTGGGCAGAGAAGACCCACACAAAGAGAAGGAAGCAATTCCATTTAGTGATTGAGAAGTCTGGGTTTGTATTTACTGCAGAGTGCTCACTTTGTCCTTTTTTTGTGGCTGGGCTGGTGCCCAGTTTCCTCAATGCTGTCCTGCAGGATGGGGACTGATCCTCTCTGTTGCACCCCACAGCCCAGGCTCAGAGCAGGAGCTCAGTCTAATTCCCTTTCCTTTAAGCATTTAAGTCTTTCCTTACTGTTCAGACCAGAATAAAATTCTCACCTTTGGGAAGAGAGAGACTTTTTGTGGGTTGGGTTGTTGGTTTTTTTTGCTGTTGGGTTTTTTTTAACAGGGATAGCATTAGATTTGAATTTGATGTATTTCCAGCCAGCAGTTACAAGAGCTTCATGAATAAATGTGTAGAAAATGGACTGTGCTATCAAGGTAAATCAGCCTGGGTGGCTACTTAAGTATTGAGCAGAGAGAACTGTGTAGAAGGAGTAATTCTGAGTTCAGGGTGCTGTGTGCAAGAGGGGGAAGAAAAGGATGTGGGGGGATGTGTACAAGCTCAGGGTCATTAATTCAACACTGCTAAGTGACAGAGCACTCTGGTAAAGTTTTGTTTCAGCTCATTTTGGTGCAGAAAACAAGCTCCAGCCAGCTGAGCTGGGTGAGAACTCGCATTGTCTCAGGTGGCTCCCGGTGCCACCGATGTGCTCGAATCCCACAGCAGAGCCAGAGGTCCTGGCTCTTCCTTCCAGCTGGTCCTTGCCCACAGCCGGGGGATAAGGGAAGGGGGAAGGCAGAGCTGACTCCACCAACATTTTCAGAGCAGAAAGACACAGATCCAAGTGTCTGTGCTTAACTGGGGCTGTGGGCAGTGGGGAGGGAGGATGGGCCCTTGAGCCAAGCCCCCTGAGCAGGCTCAAGGCTGTGTGAGAGCAGCTGTATTGTGAGGGGCACACAGTGACATGAGGGATGGGTTCCAGCCCCAGTTCCCACTGGCAGACCCCAAGAGAGATGTGTTTCCTGTTGGTTTGACTGTAAATGTCACAGAGCTGTAGCTGGGGGAGATGGCAGAGCCCTGGCAGCCTGGCTGGCAGATGTTCAATGCAAAGACTTCAGCTCTGGAATCACATCCTGATCTGAGATTATTTGTTAGCAGCAACTCAGGAAAACAGCTGAGACTCAAAGGCTCTGCACTCACCACAAAATAGAGCTGACCTCGAAAATCCCTCTGTGTGTTTCAGCAGAAAAGTGCTGGGTCAGAGCTGCACATACAGGAGCAGCTTCCCCTGAGCCCTGAGCCACAGCCCTTATGTAAGAGACACCCTGCAGATAAACCCACTTCTTGGAAACTGGATATTCTGCAGTAAATTAAGCTCAATCTAGATCTCCACAAGATGTCAGCAAAGCAAAGTGCATGTTCAGAGTGAGGCGAGCACAGAGGGCAAGGAGAGGAGGGTGATGGTGGCTGGGACCCCAGTGCCAGCCAGGTCCCTGCCCTTCCTCACTCACCACTGCCAGCCTTCAGTAAAGGTGGTGATGGGCTCAAGCAGCCACCCCAGCACTTCATTACCCTTTAACATGAATGTGTTCCCCACAACCAACCTCTCTGCCTGCAGTCTGAGCCCATGCTCTGGTAAAACCCCTTCATTTGCTCCTTACAGGGCTTCGTTGTTTAAATGATGCTGCTCCAATTGAAATTTTCCATCCCTTCTCCTGATGGTACTTTGAAATATGTATCCATTTGGTATGCAGCTGGAACCAGATTGGGATTGATGTTTTTCATTAGAACTGCCAGTATAAATACGATGACTTTCTTGGTAAATTATTCTGTTTGGTAAATGTGTTT